TTCTCTCTTCTCCCGAGCCTACGTTTTGTTACGACAAGGATGAATTACGGACTATTCAAGACAATTCCCTGATATGTTATGACTTCACTAAAGCGAACCATATGTACCTTGAACCTATTAATATCAAACAGAATCTCTACAATTCGCTTCTCGGAGAACCGTTTTCACGCTAGGCCATGTTCATTTTAGTCGATACCTGGCTGCTGGCTGGAATTTTCAAGAGACATCAGAGTGATACCCCTTGCTTCTTATCTATTATCGCAATACAAATGTCCGTAACTCATCCTATACATATTATATCGAGTCTCTGTAGATACAAGATACCGCAGAAGACTCATCGGGAGTGTGTCTGTTTCGACACCTCTCTCAAAATTCTCACGCAATCAGTCAGACCCTTACTTCTCATTCTCCCTTAGGAGGGCCTCCTCGGCTTCCTTCCGTCTAGCCTTCGCCTCTTTCTTCGCTCTTTTCTTCTCCTCTTTCGCCAGCTTCTTCGCTTCCTTCTGTCTAGTCTTCTCCGCCTTCTCCTCTTCCTTTTGCCGCGCCTTCTCCGCCTTCTCTCGCTCCTTCTCCCGTTCTTTCTCCTTCTTCGACTTCTGCACCTCTTGGACCACAGACATCTTGGGCACCGAGGCCGGTCGCTTGGACGCGGCGCGGCCGCACGACGACGCCGACGACGTCGATGTTGTAACGGCGGATGTGCCTCTCGGGCTCGGCGACGTTTCCAATTGCGTCACGATCTTCTGGGCGCATCTGCGAGCGCAATCAACCGCGTCACGACTCTGCCCTTTCATGACATTTCTCCGGCCAATTGCCAAGTGAAATTGACAATCAAATAGGTACCTGATTCTAGTGGAGGCCTTGCCAGCGCGATAGTCCCTCTGAAATTCCTTGATCGGCGGCAATCGGCGCTCTCGATTCTCCCGCAAGATCTCCTCCTCTTCAGCGACCTGTTGAACCGGATCCTGGTACTCCTATAAATTTTTAAATCATATTTATCGCTAATTTTGCACGCTAAAGAATTTATTTAAAAAAAAAACTACCGATATTTTTGTGGAGTTAGATCATTGCTATAACGTTACTTCAGATCGAGAAGAGTATGAAATGCATGAATGAAGGTTGAATATTACTGCCAACCTGAATTCGCATCTTCATCGATTGCGCCTGGGAACGTCTGAGAGTGGCGCCTGTGGGTTGCCGTACCCTCGTCGGTTTGCCGAGAGTGGAACTTCCGGTGCTATTCGCGGACGAGGAAGTTGCCGAAGAGACGGAAGACACTCCTATGCGAGCGAATTCAGATCATTCGAAACTCGGGCACAACTTACAATGTTACGAGATGAACTGCGTATGCAATTAGTAATTTGCGTAATTTTATTACGAACCAGAAATGGAGGACGAACCGCTGGCCATCGAGTATAGAGAGGCAGAGGCTGGTACGCTTCCGGTTCCCCATCTGCCACCAGGCCCGGACACGCCGACGGTTACGCCAGTGCCCATGTTGTACTCTGACGCGCTTTGAGGGAGCACCCAGGATTTACCCGACATCGAATACTATAAGCCAAAATAAATCTCACAGTGCATAATCGATTCGTATTTCTCCAAGCGAAATATATCTGGAATGGTTACAATTATAATCGGCGTATATATAATATTATTGTCGGAATGAGGAGTTGGCTTAATGTAATGGCATATTGGAAGAAATATATATTTAAATTGCTTTCTTGCATATACACGTTATTTTACGTGAATCTTAATAAGAATAATTAGTAATACGCCATGGAGTATAGTTAATCTGACGATTAATCATGAAAAGTTTGACAGAATGCGAGTCATGAGTAGAATTTTTAAAGGAAATTTTTAAAGGAATATATATATATATACGTGCGTGTGCGTGCGTGCGTGCGTGCGTGCGTGTGTATGTGTGTGATGTTTATGCAATATTTTACTACTGATCACGAAAAGTTAGAATAGAACATGAGTCATGAGAAGAGAAAGAATTTTAAAGGGACGTGGATGCGCGCGCGCGCGTGTATGTGTGTGTGTGTGTGTATTTTCAGCGATTTGATCGGTGATTGTCTTTAAATGCGAGGATGCACCGAGTTACACAAATTGGCCACAAAGGCATCGGCAGCTTTGAGACTCCGCTCCAATTAACGGCGATTTCATCGCAATCGTGTCAGTGGGCATGAATTTTATTGATTTGTACGTAAGTGAAATCCGGATATGGAGAGACAGCAAGAGAACACACGTAGATTGAAATTAGTGCAAAAAATGTTTAGAACAGATGTGACACATATATATATATATAAGAGGGATGTAATTGGCGCGTGTATCCGTAAGCGAGAAATTTCATCTGGGATAAAACGCGAGTAAAATCGTAACTTACATCGCGCGGAATGAGAGTCTGCTTCAGCCGTAGGATCTTCGCTCGGCATATGACGCATCTGAGCGGCAAAAGCCTCTGAGATACCGCCATTTGTATCGTCTTGACGAAGCAGCGTCTGCAAGAGACGGATGTTAAATTAACGTAATAAACGTCGAGACGTTATAATTAAAGAAACAGCTTCTTTCATGCAAAATACGGCGTTGCGGCGCCGTGAACATCCGCGTGAAAAATAATTGCCGCTTTACTCCGAGTTCTCGGACGTAAATAAAAAAAAAAAAAAAAGAAAGAAAAAAAAGAAAAAACACGGCTTTCTGAAATGCCTTCTGAAGGATGTGGAAAAATTTGCGTTTACTTTAAGTTCATTCGCTCACCTGCACACCACTCGATGCCCACATGGCGCTGTTTGCATCGTTGCTCTCGCATTCACGCATATGACGCACTGAAAGAAGAGAAAAAAAAAAAAAAATAACGAGACGCATTCATTGGACGCGCACGCAATAGTATCGACAATAATATAACTTTTATCGGTTTGATAGTCGCACGTACGTTTAATACCGACTGTCGATCGGTCGGGAAAGAAAATCAAGGCTGAGCAAAAAGGAAGAGATCACACAAGCCGCCCTGATTCGACGTTCACCGCGAGGCGTGACTCTTACTTTGTTTGCACAGTTTTTACGCGCTTGCACGTGTAATTTCATTAAATTCCAGAACACAAGACGCGAGACACGTCGTTGTTTGGCAATCGAGACGGCCGCGATTGGCCGCCATAATCGACGTAACGTAATTAGGCGTCACTTTAATCGAAATATTAATAGCTCCTCGAGCCGGGAGGGTGGGCGAACACGTCAGGAATCGAAGGGTTGCAACCGCCACTTTGTCGTCGTCGTTAATCGACTTTTGCGACCGATTAGGTCGCCAATTCGTTCGGAAATTGCGACTCTTCCGGACGAGCGGCTATATTTTGCGCGATACAGGTGCTCTATTATCGTCATTTTTCTTCCTTCATCGTGCCAGTCTAATGGTCCAATCTGGCGCAACGCGACGCAATCAACCGGAAAGATATGAGGCATCCTCCAATATTGCAACATCATATACGATAAGTTTATTTTATTAATGTAGATTACGGCACATTTCGAAGCAAATTATATTATTTAATAATCTGAAAGAGTACATATTATAATAAATACGCCTTGTATATTTTTGCCTTTGTCTATTTATCGCAGCATTTTTCAAATGAACGATCATGAAAATTTTAGTAATAAGAGACAGTTCAGTACGCCGTTTTCTTACGTTTATTTCAAAACGTAATTTCCATTAGGCTCCCTTTTATTGACCAACTTCGATTTGTGCTTACGTAGGCGCGGACTTTGATGTAGTCGGTAAAAAGATATGGGTCTTACCTCGTATCTATATTTGGAAAGACGTTTGTTCGCCGATAATAGGGATCGCGTATAAGCGAAATTACGAGGTAATCGTCCATTTACGCTGATAATATTGCAAGGTGACGATCGAGTTTAGTGCATCTTAAGGAATCAAACGTGAAGTTAACAGGGAAAAAATAGCGATCGTGTCGAGCGATGCCGACCCAAGTGGAAACGTAGTTTCTTTTGACAATTGACTGCCCGTGACAGTCTCGACCAGAAAGGGAAATTTCGCCATTCAATTTCATTTCGCCATTTCGAAATGGTCGATTAAGCGGCTCACGGCGGCTAAACCGCTGTAAAAAAAAAGCCGCGTTCTCACCGTCACTTTTAATTTACTTCTTACCTCATCTTCCTGCGAAGACGCCAATTCCGGCTCGTTCTCCTCTAGTTTCGTCAGCAACTTGTCCTGAAAAGGCAAGGAATTTAAACAATTTTCACGATATCATCTAAATCAATTTAACGTAATTTTCTTCACAAAAGAAATGCCCAATTATTATAAAGAGACGCGCTACTTTATTGCACGAGATGCCTGCACGAGAGCTCTGAATAAGAATAACGTTCGTGCAAGGAATAAAATGAAAAAAAAAAAAAAAGAGAAAGAAAAAAATGTACGCTCTCGATTCAACGATGCATAAAAAAATTTCGCGGAAGTGCCGGAAGCGCAGCAATTAAAATTCCGATTCCGTAATGAATTGATTCTTATTTAAGACAATGTTGCTGTAGCGCTTGGCTTTTGCAGAATTGCAAAAAGCGAAGGAAAGTAGATCGTGACGCCCGCGCGTTATGCTCGCGCGAGATGATGGTATGGGAGCGGTACAAAGTGATCAGCTGCCGCCGATTCCCTTCAGTTTCTTCTTGAATCTAGCGTAAGGCGATACTGTAAAAGGCACTTTGCGGCGCGCTACTCGAGACTACTTTCGGGTGCTCGACAATGCTCCCATCGTTTCTCGTGCCTATGCTCTGCAATTTGTATATCTTTCGAAGAGGTAAATTACGCCGATTACGCGCGCAACAATAATCAACCGAATTCCTCCTTCTAATTCCCGCGAGTGTTAGTTATCTATGCGAAATGCGCAAATGAAACGCGGGCACGTATCATGTGCGTGTAGTAATTATATTTGACAATCCTGCGCGCGCGCGCGTGTGTGTGTGTGTGTGTGTGTGTAGTAACGATATTCTATTATGCAACTGGTACATTTATATGTAATTAGTACCTAACCGAAATGTGCAATTAAATCCTTCATTAGAAGAGAATATACAAAAGGCGGATGAAGAAGGCGCGGCGTTTGATATATATATATATTTAACGATGTGGAGAACCGCCAACGCCGAACCAAAGTTAGATTTGTGCGATTATCCGCCGTGAATATTTTCCATACTGATTCCGGCGCACGTGGTTAAGTGCCATTCCATTTCATTAATAATAAGCGACGTCATATACATCGGGATGATTTATACTAACGACGCAAACGAGTAATAAAAGTGCTGCAGATATAACCGGACCCCGATGGCAATTAGCGATATGATGAACGATTCGTTAAACAAGAAACGACGAATTGGCAAACACGGTCAATACGCCGTAGTGGTCGTTTTTGTTTTTCGGCGACGGGTTTCCGCGATCGCGTAACCGAATAATCGACCGTTCCGAAGTTTATTTATTCTTCTACTCGCATCGTCCTGTCGCAATCGACGCGGATCCTCGTTTGCCATTTTCAATGTTGTAAATAACATTGTAGTTAGGAGGAGTATATACGTTACCTCTCGCTCCGACCGGAACACGATCTGTAACTGTGAGGTGCACTGATACCTGATATAAAATCAGGTAATCAGGGCGCGTAACGCATTCCGCGCGGAAAAATATACGTTCACGCGTTTAACTGTACAGCGCGATTAATTCCCGATTACGGCGGCACGTTTTTCCATGGCGGCATGTGATAAGCCGAGCTTCTCACAATATAGAATTAAGGTGCGAGCCCTTTTTTTTTCTGCGTTATCGCAAATCGTGCGGTGTAACTGGCGCATGAATCGAGGACGCGCATTGCTTTCTCCTTAAAGTTTAAAGGATGTTGTTGACGGATCTCAAAACAGATCCAGTGACCCCTTAAACTTGATAGCATTTTAATATGCGACGTCGCGCGAAACTTTATCCAGGGCGAAGCCTCTCGCTCGATATACAATCATGTGAGTCATCTCAAAATTACTCCTTCTGTCTCTTTTTTCGCTCCCTCCCCCCCCCTTTGTCTCTCTGATCGCCACGCCGCCGAAAAGAAGAATTAGATTCTTTGTTTTCGACGATAAACCGCAAACCGCTCCCAAGTTCTCCAAAGAATCACGCCGCGTTTCTCTCGATGCAGTGTCATCAAATCGACGCAAATCGACGGAGGTGCAATGCATTATGCCAATAATAAAAAGGACGCATGGCATAACGGTTGTATATACAAGGCAATGACCGACATTGGGAAAGTCCAGTCTCTTTATATTATCCCCGTTTACCTCCTCTCACCTGCTAACGGTTTGCTGGAAAAGATAACGTTTCTTCGATCGCAAAAATTTCTTCCACGAACAGGTCTGTTCGCGTCGTTAATCCGTACTGATATAATCACGTCACGACGGTTTCCGCGCCAGTGGCCGGGCGTGAAAAAGCGTCGCGGCGAAAGTATAAACCGCGACCCATTTTCCGGACGGCTATTTGAAAATAATTATCCCGTTGCGCAATTGCGAAATGAATCCCCGATGAAGCTCCGAGTCGTAAATTATATTTAGGAACTTTCGCTAATCGTAAAAATTGTTTGTTTTGCCTCTAAAACGCGCTCGTCCGGCGCATCGACACTGTCGCGCTGTCAACAAAATATCGTGCGTTGAAATTCTTTATGTTCGACATCTGCTATCGAAATCGGCATTTGTATCGAGTTCGTTTTTTCCTACTTTTCGGCGGCGCGCGTACTCGAGAGACGCTTTTAACGTGAAATAATTAAAACTGTCGCGCGATACGAATCTCCGTAAAAAAAAAAAAAAAAAAATATCCGCTCGTTCTCGACGCATCGTCGCTCACCGAGTGTGCAAAATTTAAGAGGTTGCCAGGCACGACCGAGCAAGCAAACGCTCGACAGGCACTTAACGCTTTCCGTGCGAGCTTAATTACGGCGAGACACGGCATCACGTGCGAGGTAGAAAAAAACGGATTATTTTCGCGTCTCTTCCAGTGTCGCGTCGATAATCGGGCGAGAATCCAAGACAAATAATCTGTCAATATTTTCGAATTTCTGAATCTCTCTGAACGTTCCGGTGTTCCCGTAGACCGGCAATTAACAGCGCGGAGCTCAGGTCGATCGGGCGCATTTTTTAATTTTTCGATCTAAATATCCCTTAGATAAACGTAAGTGCTTTTGCGTGTTACGCGAAATCGAGCCTGCGTTCCACGCGGCCATGTTCCGCATTGAAACATTTTGCACGACGGGGGAGGGGGGGGGGGAGCTAAAGGGATTCTTTGACAGGGGTGGGTATCGCGCGGCGTCGCGATCTCCCCCGTCGGCTGTACAACACGCGACATAACGTGACCATCGTCAGGTTCAATGACGACGACCGCGGCGATTGGTCGAGGCCGACCGTCGCCGTCGCCGTCGCCGTTAGGCATTGTATGCACAGTGTAGCGCGAAAGATAAAAACCCGTAGGGGGATTGAACGAATACGGCCAGATTCGAAGCTACGTTACGACGCTGGACGGCCGCGTCGGACGGAAATTTCTCGAATCTCGGGTCGAGCGAGCGAAGAAAAGTATCGGTCGGTATTTCGATTTGATATTCGTTTTGCAACTTGCAACTGTTCGATCGATGGCGCATTACGCCTGGTACGATCGCGAGATTGAGATTGATTTAATTCAGGCTTCCATTGAAGGTATTATTATCTCTTCACTTTTTGTTGTAGGAGACACTATACTGCATCTGACTCTGCTTCCCACCGGCACGTGTTTCTATTGCTGTCCCATCCAGCTGAATCGAGACGTCCAATTTCTATTGTATACCAGGTACATAGGTTGTTTATGAATCAAAATCATCGTGATGTGAGCGCCAAACGCTTCAGTATAATACGATATCTTCCCACCTCCAATATCACCTTAAGCTCGGGAATATAGAGAGGGAAATTAATAATAATTAAATCGGAAATTTTGTTAGTCCTGGCTGGCTCATGAAAAAAATTCTGAGATATTCCGGGCAAGACCGGTTGATTAATCATTAATTGGAACTTGAAGATTGGTTTTCCGATAGTCCGTAAATCAAGTCGAGTACAACGTCGGCTGTATTAAATTCCATTTCGAATTTCGCTCATACCGACATTTTTCTTGCGTATTAATCCACGATCACACAGGCGGAATCCGATCTATGGAGATCTACTGGATTTCAACGATGCCGCGACATTGCGGAATAGTAACTTCAACGTTAAACACCCGACCATCATTTACGTTCACGGATACAGTGACAGTAGCGCGGGGAAAGGTCCCACCGCCATACGAAATGGTATGTACTTTATAAATATTCACTTCAAAATCGACGAGCACGATATCGTACGCGCTGCAAAGTCATTATTTGCAGGAAAAGGCATTCTTACACAAAGGAAATATACCGTTTCGCGCACGGGGAAAGTTTCAGAAGTTTCTCCGCAAATATTTTTACCACCAAGATAAATTTTCGCTTATTGAAATATTCAATTTTGATTTTCATTGAATTTTGATGATCGTATCGTGAGGAGGGGGGGGGGGCACTTGTGTAAGTTTTTTTTTTTCGATAAGAAACGCGCGATATCGCGGCGGTGTATCGCTCCGAATGCCAAAGCAGCTTCTTAAAAGTCATCGCGATGCCTCCGTTTTTCTTTCCGCTCGTAAAGTTCGGGGTGAGCGAGTAGGCTGGATCCATTAGTAACTACATGATCTACGGATCTACCTAGGTAAACCTCAAGAGGTACTGTCAGGATGACGAATAGTGCGCATCATAACTTGCCACAATAAATTGTGAAGTTTTCCACTTTTCAGCGCACGAGTTGATCCAATTCAACTTCTCACGATCCCAAAGGAATCGTGTTATTTATTTCGTTTCTTTAGAAAGGAAGAATTTTGTACTTCTCGCTCGCAATTTTTTTTCTACAAATTTCTGTAAATTCGACTTATTCGAGTTATTGTCAAGCAGTTGAACAGCATTAGTTTTCTCTGCATTTTTTATCATTTTTTTTTTATCCAGAATTTTAATATTCTAAGAAATTTCTATTTTACAATTAAATAATTTATATTAAAGTTCGATATTGTTTTAGAAATAAAAAAATTTAGTCTATTGACAAGTTGCATTTTACAATTACTTTTTAATTTTTATTTAATTTTTATGAACAGCACAGTTATACATCTTTAATTTTAATTTTACCATTGATTTACCGTTGATTTTACATTACTTTTTTCATGATACATTTTTATTTTAACCGTTCAACTCTACATTATATTTATTTATTTTTTACCAGCTTATAGAGCTACTTCGTATATATATATTGCTTTCAACCTTGATGTTGGCCATTATCGAATTACTTATTTTTATGACAAAATATTTATCATATTTATCTTATTAATCAACATTTATCATTCTGAATTATCAATTTATTGTATCATGTCTCTGTTTTTAATTTCTTAAACTTAAGTTTCACTACTAAAAAAGACTCTGTATAGTCAAAAATGTTCAATTATCTCGTGTTTTGTGTTAATAAAATCAATTAAATTTATTTCTAACATTTATTATTTGCTCGTTGATTGGCCTTTCCTTCACATCTTCGTAAATTTTTACTAATTTTGTATTACGCCTGGCTTACGAGTGTTAATAAAGGTTTTATTAATTTTAATTGATAATTTTTTATCTTAATGAAAATAAAATTTCTTAATTTTACTTTTTACCTTAATAAAAAAAAAATAGTATTTTAAAAGTCCCGTTGCACTTGTTTGTTTTCAGCCTACCTCCGTCGTGGGCACTATAACGTGATATTGATAAACTGGCCCAAACTGGCGGTACTGCCGTGGTATATAACGGCAGTAAGAAACACCAGAATCATCGGACCTTATTTAGCGCACATGGTAAGCTGGCTCGACGCACAGAAAGCCGTCCCGTTATCCAAAATTCACGTGATCGGCTTCAGCTTGGGCGCGGAAGTTGCCGGTTTTATGGGGAAGGCTCTGGCACCTCGAAAGGTTAGACATTGTGTAAAGTCTACTAATAACGATCACCAGTTACACCGCATTGCACATTCGTCTCGACTAATCGAAGGCCGCATTATCGGAACTGCATTAGTGCCGGGAGGTTTCAATCGAGGCGCGTTATCGACGCGATTGAGTATATGTATGGTAGTATGTGTGTGTGTGTGTGTGTGTGTGTGTGTGTGTGTGTGTGTATGTGTGTGTATGTTGAGAAAACGCGCTTTTAGATAGGCAGAATCACCGGATTGGACCCGGCTTATCCGTTGTACATGAATACCGGGGAGGAGGGTCACTTGACATGGGCCGACGCTGTCTTCGTCGATGTCATTCATACTGACGGCGGTAATTTTGGATTCCCTTCGCCACTCGGCCACGTCGATTTTTACCCCAATGGCGGCGTCAGGCGACAACCCGGCTGCGATTTGAAGAGCCTCGTTCGCATGGGCTTCAGAAGAATCATAAATCAATACAGTGAGTGTACTCGTCGCGATGTCGAGTTTCACATCGCCTTCTTGACATTTTACGTTTCTGTTGTATGTTTCAAAAGTTCCGAGAGACATCATTTTCTTTCCGTTTAGTTACCTGCGGACACAACCGAGCCTGGCGTTACTACGCGGAATCCGTGGAGAACCCCTACGGATTTCCCGCGAGTCGTTGTCCAAGATGGCGGCCCGGGATTCATGCAAACTGCATGTGGAAACCCGAGGCTTATATGGGCTTCGTGGCCGACCCCAAGTATCGGGGAAAATTTTACCTCAGCACGAACTCGCGGACACCGTACGCCAGGAATTTGACAGGTCACAAACTCAAAAAATGAGGACGCGGAAGGTCTTGATTTGGATGAACCAGATTAAGAAGCGAAATGACCTTTCATGGCGATGCCAGGATAATCATCTTGGATAAAGCTTGACGGCGATATAAAAAAGACTCTTTGTGTTTTTTATATGATGTGTTTACGACGAGAACATTAGTACTCCTATCGCTTTCTGTAAATGGCCCGCGGCCTTAATTAATTTTACTGTTTTTTTTCTTTCTTTTTTTTTTTTGAGAATTGTTAAAGTGGAAATTTTTTTTTCTTAGAATAACAAACAAACAAAGTTCATGATGGAACGTAGTTTGGAGTAGCAACGATATCGAAAAACTCGAATCGAATTATGATAACTCGAGGGGAAAAAACAACTTGTGCTCGTTGTTTTAATGCCAGACGGTACGATCTCGTAACAGCACATTGTTTACAACATTTATCGCTCTGACTCTAGCTTTAATTGTCAATGATATACGAGTAATAGTCACATAACATGAATATATATTCATAACAGATAAAATACGCGATTGAAATTCTATAATGACGAAACATTGATTTTAAGAATACCTTTCTGTGATAAACGACACGTCGAAAATAAATTTACATTTTTATAAGAATATGCAGAATTTAACGATTTTATTTGTATCGTTAATATTATGTCCTTTTTATATATAAACTTTATATATAGACTCCCTTTTTCATAAACAAAAAGTTACATACAAGTATTAATATCAGTCACTTAGAAGAATTTGTTGACTGATTGTATTGAAATGTTATATCTCTTTAAAAACGATAATCTTACATGATGGAGAAGAAGTGGAGAAAAGAAGCATAAAACAGAACGTCAGAATAAGAATGCTAATAATCGAGGAAGTAACTCGCAATTTTCATGCTATTTCCGATGCATCCTGCCTTCGAGATATGTAAATTTCAAGGCCAAAGAATTTTATTATTTTCACTCGGGCAATCGATGAGAGAACCATATGCCCTTCGAACGAAAAGAAGCACGTGCTCATATTAAAAATTACAAGTGACAGCTTGAAGGAATACAAATGAAGAACTGTGGCGCATGTTAGAAATTGGAATTATTTAACAGGACCGAACAAATCGCCTCGTGTTGCTTTTATTCTGCGCCATTCTACGTACGACACGCGCCGGATCGTGAAAGGATAGGAAATGCGTCGCATCTCCTTCTCTTTTAATGCGCCAGCATCCTTATATCTTTAAAGATTGTTTATGACTAGATTAACGTAAAATAGAAGTTCGTATAATATTTAAAAATTCCTTCTATATCGTAGCCCGATTCTTTCAAGAGAGTTTCCGTAAAACTCGTTCAACTTCAGTGAGAAATTCACTGATCAAACTTGAGCCTCGAAACAACCAAATTGCACGTCGCCGGAAAGAAATACCGTCTGCCGGTTTTAACGCTCATTAGACTGGAATAAACTTTTCCCAGTCCTTTTCAGGGATAACCTTCAGGGCGAACCGACGGAAGACTTCTCGAACCGGTGGACGGACCGAGGAGAGTTCTCCTTTAAATCCTATCGGATTATTAAAATAGTAATTAATTCCTCTTCAAGGATACAATGGATATGTCGATATGCAATTTTGGAAAAGTCAGTTCTGTAAACAGTGCGAGTGCGAAATAGTGAAGTATTCGCGAAACAACAAAACACTAGTTAGACAAAACTGTAGACAGAACAATGTAACATATTCAGCCGGTCGGAATGCAATTTCAGGATCGATAGGATGATTTATGTATGGCAGAAACATTCCCTGACTCATCTGGAAGATAGCACCGTGACCTTTCACGATCGCGTACCGTTAAACAACAATTGTTCGATTTCGGAATACATTTCGCAGGGGACGAACAATAAGCGAGCGGAATCAGATGCGTGCGAAAGAGTCGCCCCGTGTCGCGTATTCTCCTGGAAACAGAGGCTCCTCTGAGAGAGGACATAAAGAGAGAAAGAGAGGCGTCGACGAGGCGTCGAGAGGAACATTTCGACAAAGCCGAAATTCACGGCACCCTGGAATCAGCCGAGCGAACATGGAGAGGCTCCGCGGAAGTATCTGGCTGGCGGTCAATCAACCCGGCACGTACACTGAAAAATTCAGTACGACAGGCAGGTCGATAAGAATCCAATGGCCAGGGTTATAGATGACCCTAGTCTTGAAAGACCACGTTACGTGGAAAGCCTAAGGTGGCTTTCGCAGTCTACGCTTCAGCACGTTCGACCGTGTTCGGCGTTGGTTCGTTCTCTCTTGAGGAGAGAGAACTCCCTCGAGTATCGTTACCGGCTATATTCCCCCTCCTCCCCTCTTTTCATGGTTATGTACATATATCAGGCTTCCGTTGCATTTCCTTTCGTCCACTGTCTATCTAGAAATTCTCCTATCTAAGAATTCTTCGGGCTAGAGACGACTTTTCGACGAGAATTCCCCGTTCGCCCGTTTCTGCTCTTCAAACTTTAATATTTATTAATTTCGTAATTTCGACCGCTCTTTTCTCTGCGACCGGTCGTTGCTTCTGTTTCGCGTCCTTTTTTTTTTTTTTACATACTTTTTTTAGCCTTACTTTTGTCTCAATTTTTTCCTCAATTTTTTATCTTTATCTTTATTCAAACTAATTTTTCATCGTCATTCAATAATCTACCTAGATTTGACTAATTTAATATCGAGACAGTTCTGCCTTTGAATTGGCATCTCCTCATTTCTCGTTATTCCCGCGCAAGATTTTCTTTGTCAGCCAACGAAGAGAGGTAGAACTGAAACTCCTTTCGCGGTTATCGTCGGTTCGTACACTTCGCGAATCGATGAAACGAACTAACATCGGCGGTTTCCGCGCTGCTAAAATCGCTGCCGCGTATCGATCATTCGATCCTTGCATCGTTGGGAGCATTGTCCTCCGCGGAAATGAGAAACGAAACACGAAACGTACCACCACTACCGCCGCCGCCATCAGCCCCCGGCGTCGTGAATATCGATCCTTCTTTGTTCTCGTTATTCAACATGAACTCGGGCAATTCGCGTGTTGCACCTACGATGGTTACATTATATGTGC